TTACCTCTCATTTATGAACTCAGGAATAAGCATTTCTGTGGGCACTGCTACACAGTAGTTCCTCAGCTCCCCACAATGGCCTGTCAGGGAGGGGATGGGTGTCACGGTGATTTGGTGGCTTGGGGTTGTAGCAGCACACACAAACTTCATTTCAATGCAACCATTTCTGTTTAGGCCACCCCTTTCTGTATGTGAGATACATGTGAAATAGACTTGATCAGCAATAATTTGTGGGCCCTTTTAATCCCATAGGTACCTAATGGCCCTAGTATGGATACAGCTACCTGGGTGTGAACTTCACTCTACTGATGTCACCAATTTTGTTTCCTGCACACCTGTTATTGCCTTCACACAGTAGTATTTTGCTGGTAGTTGTTCCTGTGGCAAAACCTTCCAGCCTAGACAAGCCCAAGAAGCTTAAAGTCTCTCATTTCTTTCAAGGCAGTTGCACAACAGGCCTCAAGCTCCCTGCCAAATCCTGGTTTTTTACAAAGTTGGCACTGGGGACGTGAGCCAAGTATTACAAACCTGTGAAGCAGATGAGTGTGTGTTAGTGAATGACCAGGAAGTTTCAAACTGCATCGGGCTAGAGCCTGACTTTGCTAATGCTTTCTACTTCCTACTCCTACTTTTGTCCTAAGATCAGATAACGAGTAGAAGTTTTTCTTTGTAACAATTCATTAATCAGAGAAATGATCCTTGCTGGTGTTTAGATGTTTTACTTAATTTGGTACTTCTGGCCTGCTGCCCCAGTAGTGCCAAAATTATTATTTCTCACCCAGCAGGTGATAAATAACAACTTCAGTCATGATTAATACCATGAATTTCTCAACCTGACTAATGCAAAAAACTTCAAACCTGCAGAACAAGTGGGTGCTAATTGTTGTGAGAGCCATTGGAGCTGCACTCTGCTTATAAAGAAAGAAAGCCACAGGAAATGAAGTGTTTTCTAGCAGCACAGCTGATCCTAAGAGGCATCATTAAGTGCAGCTCAGCAGCATTCTCCATGTGTAGGGCTATGCTAGCCTCTTTTTTATCCACAACACTGAGCATTAAGTACATTTGAGAGGCAGGAGATTGCCAGGTTATTTTTCTTTCCCTGGAGAGGAAAAGGGGAAATAAAACAAAAGACAGAGAAAACAGCAGTTTAATATCTCATTAACACCACGCAATACTAAAATTTTTGTAACTGATATGTGAAAAGTGATAGAGCAAAAGCTGCTCCCAACAAAGCCCCTTCACATGTCTCCCTTAAAATCTCATCACATTGTAAAAGGCAGCATCAAGAGGCTACCCAGTCAAGGACAACTTGTTTCAGAGGGGGACAAGAAAACCAGAAGATGAGGAAGGACTGTCAGCTGGAAACTATGATCCAATACTGTAACTTAGCCTGTGGCTGAGATCCTGGCCACTTTCAAATCACCAGCTGGTTTGCTACAGCCTGTGATGGAGCAGGATGGCTGCTCCTTTTCCTGTGCTGTACTTAGAGTGGCACAGGACACACAGGATCCACAGTCCAGCTGTGCGTACAGTGCTGTGCTGGGAGGCAAATGAGACCTTCACATCCCAAAATCCAGCAAGAGTATGAGCAGCTGTGCTCAGCAAGATTAGTCCATTCCACAATCCTAAAGAAGCATTTCAGGAATGGAGAAGCAGTCCTGTTTTCACCAGGACTTTCCCAATTGTTTTAGCTCCATCAGGTAAAAAAAGTATCTTCTACTTTCCAACTTGAGCACCTGCCTATGAAGCTAATTACTTGTAGAATGAAAAGACTATGAGAAGCAAACCACAATGCTCAAATGATTTGTACTCAGACTCAGTTATGTCCATTCACTTGTAGCTCTGAGAGCTTTTGTGACTTTGTGTGCTGTTTCGGTTGGGTAACTCCTGCACTTCCTGGTGGGGCATATTCAGAAGGTGAATGATAATCCATGGTACAGTTGCTTCTGACATCTTTTTCTGTTAGAAACCTAAATTTTGTCTTAATTAAGGGAAACTTTAGAAGTTCCAGCTATCTCTCTTCATTCAAAATAGCCTGTAGGAACTTTATATTTTTGAGCCTGAAAAGCTAGGAAAGAAAATCATCATCCCTACTGTCCTGCTATGTAAGACAAACCATAGGCCTGATTCCTGTCCCTGGTGCAGTAGCCATGTTTCAGTCATGGGAGATCTTCTAGAAACACCCACAACTCAAGCCTAAAATTCTCACAGACTGCACATGCACAGCCCTGTCTTCTAGAGGGCCACTCAGAGCAGCAGGAAGCCCTCGCTACTTTGCCTGGGAGACGGCAGGTCAGTGTCTTAGCTCAATCCCCTTGTGAGAAACGCTATTGCATTTGGGCTGCTTTGGGGATTTTTCTGCCCTTAATTTGTTTTACTGCTGGTGTTGCTAAAACTTTTCATTCCTTTTCCTGAACTGTGTCCAGCATTTCAGGAGCAATCAGTCTAAGGGTCCTTTGTAGGACTGCAGCTTCACTGAGTTAAAGCACAGCTTGCCAAGGAAGCATTGGTCCTTGGAGCTCAGCCCAGTCTGCTCCACAGCACCAGTCGTGCTACCAATGCCACTTATAAAAAGCATAATGGTTTCGTGTATTTAAGAATTTATGAAGTACAAAGTAGGTCTTTTGGCTAGGATTTTAATAGCTATTTTCAACACAAAGTCAAGATTTTCCTTCTAAGTTTAGGGATCACCAAGAATGAGGTGCAGCCTGAACTACAAACATGCCATACAGAAAGAATCCTCTTCCATCAAGGAATGCTCTTTTCCATTTAAATGAAATTATCAAAGTCACACACAAGGAATGAGGGGTGGTTAAACTTTCAGAAACTTGAGAGCTCAGTCTCTGCTTGTCCTCTCACTCCAATATTGAAAACTCGATGTGATTTGCCTGTCTCTATCCTTAAGTGGAGTCTGACTAGCTCAAGTAAATTTACACAAACTTTGCTTGCAAGAGATCAGTATCTTTTGCCCAACCACTTCCACAGCATTTATTTTCTAGATTAAACATTTAAAGCAGGTTAATGCATATTGCTCTGTGGGGGGTTTTTTTGTGGGTTTTTTTTTTTTTTTACTACTCTGAAGTTATAAAGCTCACTGTATGTTACTGCACAAAATTTGCAATAACTTGCTGCTCAGCATTCAAGGTGGTGTATTACCACAGCTTGCTTTGCCTCACCTTGCCAGAATACAGAAAGTTTCATTCAATGCTGTTTCAAAGCAATTGCTGTAATTTGGTTACAAGGTGGCTAATGGCCACTGCAGCCTTGGAACAGCAGGAACACATGCCCACCTGCACTTTTTGTATAAAAATTGATAGGTTTAGAAATCCATTAAATAAATTACTCCTGTAGTTTACTGGGAGCAGAATTGCTAAAACAACAGAAGCAAGCTTAAAATCTTTCCTCATGAATGGTGCTCTGCAAATAGTGAGAGGGTAAAAGACCAGTTAATTACTCTGGATTAAGATACTTGAGTTCTCACACAGGATTTCCCCATCACCCTGGCACACTAACTTTAGTCTATGAGTACTCAAAGTAGCATGTATCACAATGTTCTCTCCAAACTTTAAAACAAAAAAACAAAAACAAAACAAAACAAAAAAACCACAACAAATTCTTCTCCAGTTTTTTTCAGGAGTTGAATTAAAGCAGCAAGTTTGAAAGAAATATCCGAGTTCTCAGCTAACAACTGCTTTAATAGCAGAAATGGTCACTAAGCAGTCAAGGGCTAATGGCGTTTAGTTTTAAAAAGTATTCAACAGAGAGACTTTAAGACTCAAATGCAGGACAAGGGCAATTTACGTCTCCTGGCAAGAGTGATTTGATGAAAGACTAAAGACACCCCAACACACTAAGAGGATTTGACTGCAGTAGGACTTAGGACTGTTATATTAAAAAGCAAGCAGTAAGAATTCAGCTCTGTTTTCCAGTCCAGCTGGCAAGAGTGGTCACCCACAAAAGCAGTGAGTAAGCAGGAGTGGTGCAGGAACCTGTCATGGGAGATGCAGCCAGTCCAAGGCATGCAGCTGCTTTCTGCTCAGTTTTAAGAGAGAAGGAAATGGCAGCCAAAACCTCATGACCATTGTATAACCAGTTCAAGCCATTAAGTGTTCTGACACTGAAGCATATAGCCAACAGAACATATTTCAGACTAAGAACACAATGGTTCCAACAAGCCAAACAGCCTGAGCTGGTTCCCAGTTGTGCCCATGACTTCCTGAGTGCACAAGGTTTGTTTCTGCCACCAGCATGTTCCTGGTGGTACTTTTGGAAAAGCACTAAGTACAACTGACACAGCAGAACAGAGCAGTACCATTTAATGCACTCGAAATAATACTAATCAGATCAGTCCTTGCCTACACACAAGAACTCTCCCTTAAAAAGTTCAGTGGAGCCAGAGTTTCTGGAGCACCACAGTGATACTTCTTTGTTTACTTCTGTATCATTGTGGCTACATGTAAGAAGAATAATACAGAGAACCAAGACATGCCAGCCACAGGCTCACAGTGAGTCCTTATTCTATGAGAACCACATCTGATAGACCAAAGTTCAGAAGCAATGTTAACATACTGGCAGAGGAAATAGTGAGGCAGACAATTACCTGGCAAATTAGCTTCTTAAATAAATAGCAGGACAAGCTGAGGATTAAAACTGGGAAACTACAGGAAGAAAAAAACTATAATCAAAAAAACAAAGGTGGATGAGAGATAAAAGCAGAAGTAAGACACACACACAAGACGAAGGACTGACAGCTAGAAGCTACTTTGATGCAAAAATAGGAACTGACTGAGTAAAATCGCATGAGTTGTGTGCTACAGAGCTCCAAGACATTTTTTTCACCCAATTTCTAAATAAGTCTTAGCTCAGGCAGACAAACTTTAAGATCTCTAATGCATTCCCAGCCTAATAGTTTACAACTTTCTTCCAAATATCCTGTCAAAAGGATCCTACTCGGGAACTACATAGACATTAAATGTAGTAAAAAAAGGCGTTTAGAAAGATCAGAGATCAACTTTCAGTGTTTTATTTTTTTGAAACGGATACAATATTTTTTCAATGTGACTTTAGAGTACGTGGCATACAGGCTATTAAAATGGAAACGCTCATACAGACATTTCAGCTCAAATGTGCACAGTATATTCTACAACACAAGAACTGGATTTACCACTTTTTTTTGCTCCAGAATAATTTGGCAGCTTCAAAAAGCTAACACACGTTTCCATTCTCAAAATCAATTTATTGAACAATGTTGTACCCAAACTGCAGCATAATCCACCCCCAAGCACCAAGCTTATCTCAGCAAGGACCTCTTGGAAGATCGGGCTGCAGTTGCAGAGCTGTCTCTCTCATGGCCCTCAAAGTACTGCTGCTCTATTCGCCGACAAAACGCTGTGAGATTGCTGTAGTTCTTCACCTTTTCAGAGAGTTCATCAGTGATTAGTTGAGTAGTAAGGATTGTGAACAGATGTCCAAACACCAGAGCATCTAATTCAGTTGGTCTGTAAAAAAAAAAGACAGAAAAAAAAGACAGGTATTTTGGAAGACAAGTCCCGACCAAGAAAAACCATGCTGTTCTGAGTAACCTTTAGATAGCCATGCAGTCTAAGAGTGGGGATGAAATCAAGCAAGGCTGAACCAAATGCACGAAATCCGTGTATAAGATATATTAAGAATCCTGCTTGTTCTCAGGATGGCATTTTCCTTGCTTTAGGGAGCTTGGAAATGTGGAAATAACATCTCTTAGATCAGACAGACTTACTGGTCTAATTTCAACCCATGCTACACCTTTTTTAGTCCTGTAACAAGGGCGAATGCTTATCAGGTGTTTTGTGGCTCTTATTTTTCTTCTGCAGATGTGCATTAAAAAAATCCAACTATTATCTCACAAGGGGGAAAAAAAAGGAGACAAGTGGAAGCTTTCAACTCCCATTCCTTTTTTTTGTGCTCTGCAACAGTTCAGAACTATTCAACCAACAAGAAAGGAAGTTCCAGGGTGGCAGCAGCTGGAAACTTCTCTTTTCTGAAAGGGGATTACACAGAAGAAAACAGGTATTTTGGGAATGTTGTAGGTGTGACCCTTTTGAATTGTCACCTTGGACCTTCAAGTAGTCCGTGTATATAATCAGTCCACGTACAAATAGTTTTTTTTTTCAAATATATTAAGAATTTCAGACTCTCCCTTTACTAATGTTCAATATATGCAGCATGAAGCTTTCCTAAGTGATAAATTTTCACCTTTTTACTTGTGAATCTCTAAGCACTCTCCAATGGAGATATGGATCCCTGCATAGCAAACTTTAATCTGTCAGAAAGAGGCCGCTTTTCTTACTTTCCTCCCAAAGACTCACATAAGTCACAGACCGGAAACTACTGGACTAAAAACACATATTTTCTTAGTATTATTTCAGACAGCTCAACAATTTAAAGGTTGAAACTGTACCAAAAAAGCCTGGTTAACTACCAACCAACACAAATTCCCCAAGTAACAATTCTTTAGAAATACAGAAAGAAAAAATAAGAGATACTAGGCTTAATAAGCAAAGGAGAAGATGCAACTTAAAATTACCTTCTACAAGGCATATTTCTGTATCCTCTGAATTAAGACTACCCAACTAGTCTCAGTTTGGATCAGATTAAGAAGCAAAGATACATGCAGAAAAGTAACCAAATGCTGCCATTTGACAACATCTCCCTGTTCAAATGTAGCAAACTGAAACCCAGACCTGATCATTTCTAGACTGATCTATGCACAGGAGACAAGAGGGAGCTAGTGTGATGTTATTTAAGTCTGTAACATTTCAAAAGTGGTAAATTATTGGGGAGAAAAAAAAATTAAGAGCGCATATTGCAATTGAAAGAAACCGGTGAGAGCAGAGGACATTCCATGGAGGTCAGGTAATTTCTTTTTTTTCTCCTGGCAATGTGAATCTTGGTTTTCACTTTGAATTCAGTTCTTTGTGGACCAGCTAGCTTCTCCCTCAGTTCTTAGAACTCACAGGCAGCTTCATGCTAATTCAGTTCATTCACAACTGCTTCTGATGTCAAGACAAGCTGTCCTGATCAGGTTGGCACAACATACATTCACTTCTCTAGCAGAGAATGTCACCCAAGAAATATTTAAGTAAAGCTTTAAATGTATAATTTTTAATAAGAAACTAACTATATAAAAGTGTACATTTGTAGCCTACATAAATTGTGGTAAAATCTGTAGAGAAGACAAGCAGGAGTAAAATGAAATCATAAATACAAAAAACTTACAGAAGCTTTCCCTTTAAAACCTTTAAATATTTATTCCTTAAATTTCATGTTTAGATTAGAGTCATATATTTGTGTTTTTTGCAACTAATCACACAGCATTAAAATAAAATAGGAGTTTTATATAAATACATTTGTATGTATGTGGGTATATACCTATATCTCATATTGCTGGATGCAATATTTCAATGAAGAGTAACTTACTGCTTATTGAAGAAATATGGTTGTGTTCCTAATCTCTGGGAGAGAGCATGACAGCACTGATCTACATCTTCAAGCACCTATCAAAACACACAAGAAAGAAAGATCCATATTGTCAGAAGTAACACCATTAAAAATAACCTCCTTATTCTATTTGCACTGACTGTGGGAACAAGGAATTTAACATGTTGGAATATCAAAACCTGTTAAAGTCAGTCAAACCTACAAAGCAGGCAGGTAGCCAAGTGTTACTTAATCTAGTATTTGATGTAAGGCAACTCTGATTAAGTGCTTCCCATAACATTTAGAACTAAGTTTAATGAAAGGTACTGACTTAAACCTCATAACCTGCCACAATCCCACAAAGAGAGCCTATGAGCATCACACAGGAAGCAGGGCACAGAACTTAGAACTTACAACCTATTTTGAGGACTATGGCCTAAACTAACACTGACAGAACTGAACACTTGTGGCAAAACATCCTTCCTCTCACCCCATCAGGTTGCACATAATTTAAGATTTATTGCTGCTGAAGGCAAACTCCTGATAATGTTTAAAGTACAGAATGCATTATATATGCATTTCACAACATCTGTTTCAGGAACATGCTACTCTCCAATGCCTATTAAAAAAGGAAATCAAAAGGAAAACAGGGTAAAGAAATAAGGTTCACTTTTCATACTTACCTGTTCAAGTGTCTTTCCAGCCCATCCGATGGCTTTCATCTTTCGCCTAACCTCCCACTGCTTCTGGTAGGACAAAATGCGGTTAAGAGGCCATGGATAAGGAGAGCCATACCTTGGGTGAGTAATCTTTGTTGAAAAACAGAAAGGTACTGCGTTACAATACAAGAAAATACAGATACCTCTCGAACAAAGCAGCTAACACTCAAACATTTCTCTCTGAAAAGGAGCTGTAGAAGAGAAAAGCAGTTTTGTGTATTCTGTAACTATTCGCACAGAATCCACTGTTTGCAGCATAACTATTTAAAGCTATTATTTCAGAAACATAAACAAAACCTGTATCTTTTCTTCAGTCAGCTCCCTCCAGGAACACAGCCTCCCTAAAATGCATATGCAAGTGAAATTTTATCATTAATGGTATAAACCCCCATGTTTCATTTATGAGTAGGGACTTGCAGTTGTGAACAGAAGTGTTTTCTCATTAAATTTTAATTAAGATAAATGCTGTGGAACCACTCACCTCCTCTACTGTAACATCATCACACCACTGGAGATAGAGCTAGGAAAAGAAAGAACACTTACTAAAACTTCCTAATAAAGGAGAATACAGAGACAATCATTTTTCACTAGCAGAATTTTCTTCCCTAAATTAGATTAAAATTTCCATTTCATTTCTTCTCTTAGACCTTTGATGTACAAAAGAAATTAAAACTGGGAGGCAAAAGCCCAGTTTCTAGTTCTTACTTCACCAGCACCCAAACCAACCAAGCTGAGACCAAAAGCCTGCTCCTGTTGCCGACACCACATCCAACTGAAGGCACAGGAGCCCTCAGCTCCTCAGTCACCTCCATCTTCCCAGCACTTCCAACCCTGCTCCCACGCCAGGACTGAGTCACCTGAACTGGCCACAGGCACTCAGTGCAGAGGATCCCAGGCTCAGAGCACACACAGCTTGCACGTGGGAACAGTGACAGCAGAGTGCCTGGCCAGCCAGGGGGTGTGGTAGGACCCCAGGAACCACTGGCATTTTCTGGTCAGTTACTTCCACAGCAGCTGTGACACACTTGACGTAGGTGAGGGGAGTCACTCGGGTCTACAGGAACAGGTCAACAAGCAATCCACAGTGTAGAATTTATTCCTGTCTCTTTTCACCACAAAAGGTGACGACCTAATCTAAGAACAGCACTACTTCCACTACAGGGAAAAATCCTAAAGCTTTCTTGCCTACAGTCACTTATGTAAGTGTGTGGAGTTACTAGGGTTTGCTGTACCTCTGCTGTCAAGAGCATATTATTGACCAATTCCATGTAGGCTTTCATCTCAGCTTTTTGGACTTCATCCAATCCATCACTGAGGGAATGGCCCTAATGGGAAAAAGAAAAAGAAAACACACATGTAAGAACGGGTGTTGGAATATTCAGCAACATATCACACAAGGCCCTTTAACATCAATGAGCTTTGGCTCAGATCCTAATTTCTTACATAGTTCAATAACAAATTACATATTAAATTTTTACCTACAGTATCCTTTACGATTAAAACCAAATCATCATAATGTAACTAATATAATCTATAAAATATCTAAGTTAATCTACAAGAAATTCAGACTATTATCAGTTATAGATGAACACACTTTGAGCACACAACCTCCTGGTTAGTACATCCCTATGGCAAGAAGTAAACACAAATCCACATCCGTGATATGAACTCAGCTTCTCAGTGAAAACATGGCATTTTTTAAAATAGAAGGGAGGGCTGGGGGGTGGGAGAATAAAGGCAAATTTGAATACTATCTGACATTTCAGGATTTAAAACAGTCAATTCTGGGTTTAAGACCTCTGAGACCTAGAAACAAAGCATGTAGAAAAACAGCCGCAGAAACTGGCACTGGTATGCAGCTATCCTGCAAAGAATTTACTTGTAGAATTTGAGGAAATGACAAAGAAAAAACATTTTCACCTCATGAACTCCCGTCCACAATATCTTTCTTTTAAAACAGCACTAGAGTCCTATATTGTTTTAACAAATTCAGTAACATTCCAGAAAAGCACACTTAATCAGTGCAATGCTAAGCAGGATTAACATTCGCTAATTAATGAAAACAATGTACTATTACCTTGGCTTTTACAAACTGGACTATGGGCCCAAGTTCAGATACTACTTGATTTCCCACATGAATAAAGGGTACTTTGCCTGTAAAAGGAGAAATGTATTGTAGCAATGAGACAAAGAGTGGTGAAGAGAGAGAAGGGAACAAATGCAAACCTTCTCTGAATTATCATTAAACCAATATTTAAACCATAAACCAATATTCCAAAAGGAAACTAGGTAAGTGAGTCAAAGTGAGTAAAAACAGTAAAGGACTCCAGGAGTAAGAGCAAAAAGAATACATGTAATTCTGCCTACATTTAAAATTGAAGCAGTATCATTTTCCCTCTTGTGCTCCTTGTTTTCAGAAGAAGTGTTCAGACCTAAATTACAACATTAGATGCCAGCAAGTGTGGACATGAGGTGTAAGTGGCAGAGACGCCACAGCATGTAACTGTCATCAGTCCTAGTCCTACACATGCAAGATGTAACTATGTGCCTGGATTCAGCATTTCCAAGCTCTACTTACTAACAAATAATTCATATACTTGCATATTTTGCTGTTTTTCACTCCTGCCAAGCAACTGTTGGTTTGGAGTATTTTTAAAATAGCCTCATTTCATTATTTTAACCAAAAATATCAGTACCAGCAGTAGAACCCAGATAGCTGGCAGACATATACTGATAGGCACTTCCATATGGCAGTCATCAGCCAGAGCCAGGTAATCACTAAATATGGACTTCCCCACGCAACAAAAGTATCTGGGACAGAGTGCAAGGATCGCCAGAATGAATTCTGTAATTCTTTCTGATTTTAGGCAATATTCTGAAGCTGGAGTCTGGGCATTTTTAGGCAGTCACCTCCAACAAAAATAGGCTGTACCCTTCTAATACTTAACTTTTTGGTGGTGGGTTTGGATTTTTTTCCAGACAGTCTCATGGATCTGAGGAAGATTTAAAATCATCTGTCACCCTTAATAGTGACAATACACCCTTAGGTCTCCTGTATCCTGGCAATCAACTCACACACAGAGCAACAAAAGAGAACCTTTTCTCCAATATTGTTTTGCTTCAGCAATAGGAAAATATAACATCATTTCCTGGAATATTCCCTGGATGCAGAAAATAAAGCCACTTTTGGACACATACGTCTTTCTGCTTTAGGACATTTGAGAGAAGGTTTCCACCAGGCTCTGAACTGTGTGAACACTTTACACAGGTTACACATAGTGCCAACGTTACTTTGCATTTCACTGTTTTGATTGTTTGCGGAGGAGAAGCTGCTCTGGAGAGGAGGGGGAAGGCAACCCATACACAGTAGCACGGCACAACTGTTATCAGCAAGACAAGGCTAGTTGCCATGGTACCAAAATGGAGGTATAACACAGTAATCTAAATGAAGGCCACACTTACCAGATGGGGACATGTACTCGGCGTTTGCCCTGCAAATCACCCGGATTGGCAGATTGCACATTTGCAAAAAGGCCTGCAAACAAAGAGTCGCATTTGAAAAGCATTAATACACCAGTGGCAAACAAATGTGGTGTTCTCAATACATCTGACTGTGTTAGCTGTTTCCTAGCACACATTTATGAAGTATAGTTCCTTGCATATTGTTTTTACGAAGAAAGAAGGGTTAGTAAAAGAAAAACAAAGGCGTTTTAACTTCATTAGACAACTGTTTATCATTCAAACGCTGACTGGAATTCTTCTAATGCAGTTTCAATCTATTTTTACTGTTTTTTCAAGATGGGAAAAGAAGCAGTATCTGACAGACATAATTAGTGCTGTGGCTGTACAAAATTGAGTGACATTTTGCCCCTTTTGAAAACCACAGTATACTCATTTCTCCTGGCTAAAGCTGGCTAGTCAAGGTAATGTTGTGTAACATGGCAAACACATATGGCGTCTTCCCACATTATAATTACAATAGCTGCCAGAAATTTTGCTCTATGATACTGTCAAAGCACAAGTCTGGTTTGGGACAAAGTATTATTTTTATTTATGGGATTCATGGAGAGCATAAGTGATCAATTTACCTTTCCCTTCTACCTGTGTTCTTAGATTCAAAGCCTTCTCAGAAGGATAACAGTTTTTGTCAGCACTTGCCACTACCACAAAATCCATAGGCTGTTTCTTTTGAAATACCAAAATGTCAAGAAAAATATTTGCAGTTTGGACAGAACACGGCAAATAAGGAATCTCTTAATCTCTAGACTCTCACAACTCAGCTCAGTCCTATCATTCATTTTGTCTCTGCAATTAGACAGGCTGCAATTCCAGATTCCAAAATTATTCTGTTACCTATTTATATAACATGACTTGAGGTAAAAAAGGCCTAGAGCAACAAGGCTCTCAAAATGAAGAAAAATGCTGCTGTAACACAGCACTTTCTACACAAGCCTCTTCCCTGCTCTTCAGATTGCAGCATCTGGCAGTAAACCACACTCTCGCAGCTTTAGCTGCTCAGATTCTCATCGCACACATGAAAGCAACCTAAACCTTAACATTAGGATCTGCTCATCTCTGCACCAGATGAAACCTTAAGTCATGAACTGTCATCAGCCCTGTTCCTAACTTTGTGGTTTCTGTAGAATCAAGGAAACAAAAATAACCCCGTGCTCTTTAAGGCTTTTATTTCCAAACTCTAAACTAATCCAGGGAAAAAAAAAAAAAAACTTTGGTCTTTTTCCACCAAACTGAAGAATTGCACAGTCCATTATGATATTTGGCTCTTGTATGTTTAGATTAACTGACTCAAATCCGAATCTTCATTTAAAGAAAGAAATTATAGTCACGAACTGCTACACAAACTCATTACAAGTGACAAGAGCCCACCTCAGAATTGTGATGGTTCTACAAAATACATCAGAAACATGGATTTCTACATCTTTTGACTAAGCCTAACTAACTTAAAACTCTGCTAGGGAGCCAATTACTATACATACACACACAGACAGAGACACAGACAAATACATAAGGAGAGGATAGTAGTCCTGGTCAACATCAGCCAAATAATTCAGGTCCTGCACTATTAAACAAGAAATTGGTCTCCAGAGTGTTTCATCCAAAACAGAACCTCTATTACTGCCTAAGGATACAGCCATCACAAAGAAAATACAAGGCACTGGCCAGTGCATCACTTACCAAATCCATGCTCCCATCAGAATACATCAAAAATTGAGTATCTTGTTACCTTGGCACCACAAACTCCATGCAAACAGTAAGAATACCCAAAGGACTAATTCGTCAGTAATTCAAGTAATTTAAGGCACTGGTGGTGTCTCCCAGTCCTAGATATTTTCCTTTGCCTGCTGGCTTTGCAGGACCTGGCAATGTCCATGCTGCTCCAGCTGCTGTTACACGTGTGATGTCTTCTACCCACACTTCATATGCAACATCTTCAGAAAGACAAGAACACAGACTTTGGTTTAGATCACATACATGCTCCTACGCCACTGCTGGACACCAAAAAACGAACACCAACAAAACTGGTACACAGACTTCATTCTTCTGAAAGCTCTACCAGTAGCTAACACCATATTCTCAACAGTACTATGCTGCAGTGGAACAGATGGCAGTAAACAACAGCTCCAAAGAATTTCATCACTGGTCTAGGCTTACTGAATTAATTTCTTTCATAGTAAGGCACTCAATTAACTCTGCAATTCTGCAGAGATGAATTTTATAACTGCCATGCACTATTCGGGCTGCAAGTTTAGAAGAAAAAGAAAGTCTGAATTGCACTGGAGTTAGGGCAACATGAATAAGTGAAAAGTTTTCAAGTGCAGAGACACATTTAAGCAACAGGAGGTGAATCAGAGAACTACTTTTACTTTTTCATATCAGCATATAAAAAATGATACATGCTCGCACAGAACACTTCGGTCACACAAGCTGCTTCAGATTATTGCACATAGTTTGCCATATTATTGCCCATGTATTGTACACAGGGCTCCTATGCAGCACAAGGTTCCTACAAAAAATAGTTTGTGACTCCAAGAATCTTTTCAGTTTAGAGTTTACACTAGTTTTCATCACATCTGACCTTTCTTTCTCTCTTTATCTTCAATAAACGTCCACCAACCAAGGAATATCAACTCTTATTACACTGAAGGGGAAATTCCACCTCAGTCTCTGGCCTAGTACAAAGGGAATTGAGAACATGCTGACATTTTGTAATTTCGAAAATGCAAATAAACTGCAAATGTGTCTTTTTGAACTTTGTAAAGCAGAGACAGAAGGATGAACTAGATTTGAGCTCTACTGTGGAAATAAATATTAATTATACAAAAACGTTTGCTACTTTTCATAATAGAGCACAGATTCTAGTAATGTTAGAAATCATTTAATCTACCCTCAGTTAAAAAAATCAAAATGAAAAAAAAATTAAGAAGATCCTAAAATAAACACCAAATCAAAAACCTGAGAAAATTTCCTTGGAATAGTCATCTTCAGTTTTGATGAATGCTTCATTAAATGGGAGACCAGGACTGACAGTGAGAAGGATGATTCGGGCTTAAAACAGGATAAACCCATCCAGTACTGAATTTACTACATCAGTCTTCCTGCGAGGTTCTGAAACAGTGACCACGCACTACTGGAGCTGCCCTTTCAGCAGCTTTACAAGGCTTCTTCCAGCAACGCCTTCAGCATGCCCATGCCAAGACCTGTTCCCCTTCAGTCTTTGTCTATATTTAGGATTGGTTTTAAGATAAGAGATGAAATAAACCTAAATATGTAATACAGTATGTAATATTAACAGTATAACCTAAATATAAAACACAATCAACCTAAGAAAATAATTTTTTTAAAAAACCTTGCTATTAAGTCTTTAAAAAGACAGGGAATAAAAAGACCAGTGTGTCTATCTATTATGAGCTGTAACTTGTATCCTGCTCAACTTTAAGTGCTCCTTACATAATGTTCTGCAGCAAAATGAAAGAAAGGTCCACAGTGTAACACAAATATAATCCTTATTGAATCTACACTGCTTAACTAATCATTAACTAGAGAAGTAGGTCAGTTATCTACTTCTTGCTTCAGCTTAAACGAATGGTCCATTGGACACCCTTCAAGTCAACTAAAAATTCATGTGAATCAGTAAAAGAAGACAGTATTATCCCAAATTAGCAGAGCTCAGCCTAAGAAATAAGCCTTGCAATTTGCATTACTATGAGTACTTACATTCTTTCATTGATGCAACTGACAGGCTTTGGAAATATTATTAGCATTAACAAGACAGGTAGTTTTGCCTTTTCAAGCACAGTGAATGCATTCCATATTTATGGAAATTATAGTTTCTTTTAGAAAAAAACACAGACAAGGATCATGACCAATGCATTCCTATAAATATCCACTGCCAGAAAATCTTGACTTTTTTTCTGATGCATTCAACTCGGTATGCTAGATATTAGACAATAACTGATGTTAGACAGTAAGTGGTATCAACTATTACCAAAATAGTTGAAACTGGAACAGATCAAAGAAATCCTAGAGAGAGAGAATAAAGGACAAAGCACAAATTTCTCTGAGTCTTTATCTCATTACACGCTTTAGCCCAGTGATCAAGGGAGGATTTGTTCCCTTTTTGACCACTCACGCAGAATGTCAAGAACCAGCACATTTGGTGTGCAGATGGTATGAGACCACCATGGCTTCCAACTCTGATAAAAGATGCCATGGAACACTGATTACTTCAGCTCAGAACATCTTGTTTCCCTCTGGGTACCTCACATACACAGTTTGAGCAGGCAAGTTACCCTTGCTTTTCTTGTGAGAGAAATCTTTTTCTGTGAGCAAACGGGAGTGTGCTCAGCTCCTCTGTGTGCTTTTGGGCAAGAGATTGAAGGTTGAAACCACCCCAGTGCAGTTTTGCTGAGATTTATGAAGATATCAACACCCCTTCAAAGACACAGCATCAAAAGCTGAGCAATCTGAAAGATCAAGGGCCCAGGCTTATTCTAGTACATCCAAGATTATTGTTAACATCATAAATTTGGCTGATCAACTTTAAAAAGGACTGAAAGGGGTCAACTGAATTCCAAGTAACACACAAGCTAGTTAATAACACCCTTGTGAAAATTCACCAAAAAATGGCAAGCAAGACAGTAACAGCAAACTAGAAACAAGACATTTAACTGAGCACAGCCTGTCCTACCTCACAAAGATGCCCACAGTTCCAAGTAACAGCTTTATATTTCCAGCTCCCTTCTCCTCTGGGAAAAAAAAGTGTACTACCAAAGAACAAAGAGGATGTCACTATAGGCCTCAACCTGGATCTCCTCCAGCACCGGAGGAACAAAGTGTGTCCTTTTTTTGGATGAGGTTAATGTAAGAAACAGATAAAGGCATTAAAAAATAAAGATTTGGCTTAATAGGGTCTGTCAGCTTCTCTCCCACACATGCTCTCTACCTCTTTCCTGCAGTCTAACAGTCTCCTCTCCCACACCCTTCCAGCCTCTCTAGCTGTACCATTACCTAACACTCAGAAAGGGAAGGAGGAAATGTGAAAAATACATTTTTAGCAATGATACCTCTATTCTTCCAGACTGAAACCATTGAGTCTATAGTGCTGCAACTGCCTTTGAGCACCTTGTTTTTAATGTGAGACTTTGCTGTAGACTGAGATGGAAGGTTTCTGCACATCCACAAGGAGAAAGGGATAATCAGGAGCCAAACAGATGTAACCAGATGAATAATGTCTGTCCTTCCCTACCCTCCCAATATTTACTGTTACAGAATAGGGAAGAAAGAGTTGTGGACAATGAATTGAAGAAATGTATGGGGAAGCCTCTCAGTGCTTTTCCGGCCTCACTGCACACTGATCCACACAGGAGTGAGGTTTGTATTGCACTGTCTTATACTCACAGAGAACAGCATGAGCCACTCTGTTTTCAAAATCAGGTGGAACAAGCAAGTTCATATTTTTGCTGTGAGAGAACGTGGTATTGGTATAACTGTGTGAATAGGGCTGATAGGAAGCTTTGAGGTGACACTTGTTACAATATTAATCAAATATCTTATGCCTATCATTCATTTCAATCATGGCAGGTGACACCTCCTGCCAGAATTATGGAGTATATTTACAACAGCATTGCTTAAAGGACACAATCCATGTAAGACTTGCTTCTTCTTACAGACCACCCAATTTAAAATTCAAAATATCAGTAGGATATTGGATTTTGACTATATAAAAAAAAGAAAACAATCAGAGAATCACCTTCGTGCTGATTTGGCATAGTTCAAAAGCCAAAAGCCCAGAAACCACAGCCAGACACGGGACATCAAACCCCACCCTTCCCTTCCTCCTCCCTCCCCACCCTCCTCTTCTCACACAACTGATGCTACCACCCCCAGAACAACGCAAGAAAGGGGTGCCCTTGCGTCTTCCTCTGATGGCAAGTATGGGAAGTGACTGTGCATGAAATACAATGGGAAGGCATAGGAGAAGGGAGGGGGGAGGTTTTTATTTATTCCTAGAGTTAATTGGTTTAGGTGTGATTTTTACTCTGGCTCTCCCTTCCTCTTTGCCCTGCCCACCTAAGGACACCATCAGTTGGACACACAACACATACTGGGCAGCAACTCACCCTGCCAGAGCTCCATCACAACACTCTCCTCTTCCCCTACAGTTTCCTCCCAGAAAAACACATATGAGCAAACACATACATTCATTAAAAATGAGTTACAACTTGAAGTAAATCATATCCAGATTGCAGTTTCTGAGATCAGAGCCAAGAATGAAATTACTTATGCCAAGACTCAAATAGTTCACAATTTACGTCGCCACATGAGGAACACTATTTTCAGATGGCACAGTCCAGGCTTCATTTGAAGAAGATATATTCATGATTAGTTTTTAATAAAGAACGAGCCATTCCAAGCCATCTCTTATTCAGCAGCACTTCTAAAGGCACTCACAAAACATACTGTTAGGAATAAAGAGTGAAATGCATTTTCTGTTTTCATTTTTATGTTATTTCATGAGCAAACAATGGACAGTATGTGATGACAACTACAGAGTTATTCTCTACTTTACTGCAGGAACACATTTTAAAATTAAAACCCATGAACAAATCTACAGAATAATTCAGTTTTCATATCAAACAGCTGCAGTCCCTGTAACTGAAATAGTGTGTCTAAGGTTATAAATGAAAACTGTTCAGTATCATTGCTTGAGTGACAGATTAAATTCCTAATCCAGTTATGGTAATGGCCACATGTGTAGTTTAACATAAATTAAGATCTTAATTATATTTGTGACTATTTTAAACAAAATAACGAATTCCTCTGTACCTGTGAATGTAATTTATAGCAAAGCCACGTTCATTCTCCAAAACAATCTATTTTATACTGCATCATGGCACTGCTCTAATGGTATAATGTAATTCTTGTTGTAGAATGTAGAAAGAGTGGATTCACTGGTAGCACAGAGGTTTTGAAGATAAATGAAGATTCTATTCATTCAGAGGTAATTTCATCTTAGAACTATATGAAAGATGTTTCACTCACAAACAGTACCTGTATAGCTTGGGATTTAAGCATGTTTTCAGCAACAACACAATGCTGCTAGATTGATTATGTTGATACTGCATTTCTCATCATGAAGAATTCCAGCTTTTATTCTCTTAAAAAGGAATTGGCAGATTTTCATTTCAGTACCAAGCTTCTGTTTAAGACTCAGCAACAAGTTCAAATATCTGCTAATGTTTTGTCTAGAGAAAAACAAAACCTCAATTCATACACACACACAGAAAAAAAAAATCACAAGCCTGTCAAGGGCAATTAATCATGTATGATTTACACATTTACTTGATTACTTGTTGAAGTAAATAAGCAATTGGTCTGTGTAACACAATTTTAAATTACCCAAACTTCCTTCTGTCATTCAGGGCTAAGAACAGACAATTCTAAAAGCATTTCCCTGGAATATGTTAAGACCACTTACAAGGACATCAACTGCACAAGCAATTAATACACATCTTAACAGAATGTGATGCAGGCTCTCTAACCTCAGAACAGCTGTCAGAATTTCCTGAATTCTGAACATTTTAGAAAGTCTTTTGAGCAAGACTATGATACTAACTGCATAAAGATTCCAGAAGAACCTGTAATAAAAGAGGCAGTCTCAACATCCACATTCCTCTTCCTGACAAGTTGGAACAGTGCAAGAGATGCTTTGAGCTGCCATTTGAGGCAAGAGGCCTGGCAGAGTGCAGCTGTATTAACCCCCTCCCTTCTACTCGACCACACTGCTTGCACCCAGGCACTAAACAAAATGGTTTTACCCACATCAGGCACCGGTAAGGACACAGAGCCTGGACAGGCCCTCTGCTTCAGACTGAAATATACTCTCCTATGGTAATTCAGTTTTAATCTACTTCAAGCTCCATTTTTCCCTCCTTAAAGTTGTGGCATTGCTTTGTTAATGAGATATATTTGTGTATCGGTTTTGCTGGCTTTTTTTTACTGTGATAAGCCTGATAAGCAGGAATGCTGTATAAGGGCAGCTGTACAATAAATACATGGAGAATGGTTTTAACCATGAATCATGTTACCCAAGTGTGTTTTCATTAGCATTGATGGGAAAAGGGCTGAGTGTCTCACAAGAACAGAGCCATCATTCTGTTACAATCTCCTTTCAATAGCTGGATAATCATTACTGATTAGTATTTTCCCTTGATTTTAATTAATTTGCAGTGAAAATAAAATTTCATTCAATACCAAGGCTTTGCAGCACAAGATCAAGTGGACTTGGTTGCATAATACACTACTTCAAGTCAACACACAAGGAGTGCAAACACCAATATGCACCAGAGATAACGCACTTGCTACTTGAAGTTATGTTGTATTTTAAGAAAATGCAAAGAATTCAAACCCAGTAAAAGACAAAGAAATTGCTACATTAGTCTGTTTCCAAAATAAACAATGAGCAGAAGAGGAATTAAAAACCAACAAACAAAAATAAATAACCCTACCAGAGTTAATAGAGAAGTTCCACAAGATGAGAAGGATTTTTGTGTTTGGTTGGTTTTTAACAACTAAAGGCAACAGCACAGTTACTCAGCAATTCCCAGAAGACTCTGTCATCCCTTCTCTCATATGACACGTGGCTATTAAGAGTCCAGATATTATTGCACACTGAGAAGTAAGTCCAATCATTATTAAAACCGCAAGACTCAACCAACTTCCTAGATTCAACCTGCAGCCCTCTCTACTCATTAACTACATCTGCAGTGAGAGTAGCTTGCTCTGTCTGCTTGATCCTCTCTGTTAACAAGAAGTACATGAAATGCCATCTGTGTTGCAGGGTTGGCAACTTTAAAACAGTCAAGTTTTACTCTTACTCATTACTTACTATGGCATTGGATTGTATGCATTATTTTACGTGTAGATATCGGCATGTATGTCCCTCTGAGACCTGAAAGCAGCTTTACAAAGAAGTACTACAAGGAGATTTTATAAAATACCTGAAAGACTGGCTGCAGCACATTCAGAGTCTTGCTGTTAAACCATGTTTCTTAAACATTTGATGGTGGCTGATTGCACACGCTCTTTTGACTCAAATTTCTAATGTTTTCACCACATGGAAGTTCAACAACCACAAACAAACTATGTATCTGCTCTGGTGATATTGATGTGCCTCCAAATCAGTAACAGGGAGAAAAAGAATGACAGCAGTAGAAAAAAAGCCCCAGGTACCAGCTTCTCATTCCCAAATTTTCCTTTGTGAAAGACACACATTCCCCAACACCCACCACCCCCTTAAACCAATAAACAAACAGGCTCTCATCAAAATAAAAAGCAAATTCCTTATGCAAAACATACTGATGTATTTAAACCCCTCTGATCACTACATATCCTAGTCTCATTTCAAAATGGATCAAAGACACCAAGAACAGTTATTATTTCACTAATATGGTCACAACCATGTTACACAGATTCTTAAAAATTGATATTATTCCCCAATACAGAATTATTCTATAAAATTTAAGATCAGATATCTACCAGAGCCATATTTATAGTCATGGCTACTATCAGCTGTCCAGCCAGAGAATATTGAAGAAAAACAAGGATTTTTAATATATTATAGTTAATTTATCATCTAAGTGACATGTGTAGGATAACAATGTACTAGAAACAGTAAAGAAAAATGATGCATTAGAAAAGGAAATTTTAGGGTTATTTTGTTGGTGATTTGGGCGGGGGTGTGTTTTAAATACAAGCAACACATACATGTATTGCTAGACAGGAAGAAAATTCATGAGAACCCCCAAAAAGACAGCTGCTGGGGTAAAAAGGAACACTGAGATCAAGTAAGCAATAGAAGAAATTATTACGGTGAACCACAATAGAAACCGTACTACTCAAACAAATAAACACTGCCCCATTTATTAGGTGAATCAGAGATGATTCCTCTTTACAGCAAAGGACAAAGCTCCCTTCTTGCTGTGGTCGAATTTACTCTTAGAGCTACCTCCTAGAGTGCCAGACTGGAAGGAAAAAAGTTAAGAGATCCTAGAAGTAGCTACTATGATCAAATGATCCTAACCTTTTTACCAGCAACATCAGTTACCATCTCCAAGTGTCCCATTTTCGGTAAATGAGATGTGACCTCTTTGGACAACCCTCAAAGACTGCTTGCTGAAGGTTCTCTGAGCTAGACCATACACAAAAAGCAAGAAGCAGGAGAACAGTGCAACTCCCTGCTAAGAAAAGTAGCCACAAAATTGCTTTGAAGGACAAGAACCTGACAGACATCCTGCCACTCTGACAGCCAGGCCTTCACAACTAATGGGGAAAATGTCCCCTTGAGATTTGGGGTTACTGAACCTAACAGGTTAATGGAGATTACATGGACTTCAGAGCCACAGAGGTGCTATTAAGTCAATTAGAGGTGCAAGTTTGTCAATTATATGGACTATTTCTAAAAACCACATTGAAGCTCCAGTCTGTACACATAATGAAATTGAAAAAACCTACCAGAGACATACAGGTGATGCTCACAGCATGAAGCAAATATGCCCTGAGTTTGGGGCAGTATTAGCTATGAGAATTAAATGACTGGCAAATCTCAATAAGATGCTACAAGACAAACATGCATAGCAAGTGACAAAAGGTATCAACCATGCACAGTTCCCAGAGTAGGAAGGCAAGCAGATACTGTCCATAGACCAGAATAGACAGAAATACAAGGAACAGCATTCTACATAAGACTTTCAAAACCCTCAAATCCTTTAGACTCTGGCACTTCAATAACAATCTAAAGCAAATCAGAGGCAGGAAGTAAGTCATTGCTTTTGCTAGAAATAATTCTTAAATTAAACTTTTCGCCAAATATAGTTACATTAGCTAGATAACAATTCAAAAAATAAAATTGCGTTAACATCTTTAGTTTAGAAAATATGATATTTTACCTGAACAGCAAGGGAAGATGCATTATCAGAAAGCAAAATTTGTTCCTCTGTTGAAAAGAAAAAAAAAGAAGAAAAAAATAAACCACACAATTACAAAAAAACAGTGCCCATTTAGCTACAGACCTGTAACTGTAAACCATGCTAGGTTGCATTTCTTATGCATAAAACAAGGAGCACATATGTAATTATTATGCAACTGGACTAGCAAATCTATAATACTAATATTAAAAAACAGGGAAAAAAAATACCAGGAATTTTTCTCCTGCAAATGCAATTGCAGTTATCATATATTACCACAAAAGCTCAATAAAAAACACTACAAGGAAAAAAAAGGAAAAAAAAAAAAAAACAACTTGAATTTTATGCCAATTACTCTCCTTCTAATCAAAGTTAAATAAAACCACATCTTCATACCTCCTCTGGCTAAAAAGTAAAAGTATTCAGAAACCTATAAAAGCAGCTTGCAGCTAATATTGCACACTGTGTCTAGGTCTGTCACACAAAAGAAAGATGACAAGTTCACTGCAATAAAAATTCCATGCTTAGAAGACTAGAGCTGCTACCTATTAGTCTTCATTACTTTGCAGTCTTCTGACAACTGTAGCAGGCTGCTGAGCCCCAAATGGGGGCCATAATGTGATCTGATGATATATGAAGAGCTGCTAAAGGGAGAGTGAACCATCCTAGCCTATACATTTTAACAGTTCCTTTTTACTGAGAGCCCACTTTACCACAAGACTTCAAAAATCTGCTGCCTCAGCTATTGGTGCAGTAAATCTGCCAACTGTGCCTGCAACCACATCATTTTACACTGGCTACAGCAGCCAATATAATGAGTCAATAATAAACCAAGGACCTTATAGGCCATGAATAGCTGGTTTATATTGGCAGATGCAAGCATAACTAAAACCTCTGACCAAACAGAAAACACAAAGGACTATTTTAACAGTTTTTGTGCTTCTTGCAGTTAATTATCTTAGTGCATATTTAATGTGTTTTCTAAAAATAAAGTAATTATTAATTGCCAAAACCAGTGTACCTACCCTTCAGTTGCTGATACAACGCAGCATTTTCAGGCCAAGGCTCTGCGGCTGTGGAAAGAGAAGAAATTAATTAAGCAAGCTGAATACCAATGTGCTTGCAAATGCTAAGTGAACACGAATGCTACCCAGAGCAAGAATTTAGACTTCAAAGATGCTGATGCAATATTTAACCTTCCCTAAAAATGTCCCACTGACACTCTCTCCTCCTGTACTTCTCTCCTGCTTACAGGGGGACATCACAGAGAAGAAAGTCCCAGAATGTAATGCTGCAAGAAGAGCTAAAATTCAAGCTATGTTACAGAATGGCTTTGTAATTCTGAAGCAACTGATGCAGCTATTTTCCTTTCACCACAAAGATATTCTTGTGCACATTCCCATCCTTATCCTGGCCACTCCCAAGAGCAACTATTTATTAAAGTACTAAACGAAGAATTCTGGAAAGAACAGAACAAGACACAGAGGAGAGAGGCACAAAGCTCCAAGCAAAGTGTGAAGAATGCTTTGGGGAAATGGAAAAGCTTGCTGCCTTTAAAGTTGTGTCCTCACAGTCCTATGTAATACCCACAGAGCCAAGAGCCCAGGCATGTTGGAACTCTGCCCTCCAGGATGACCAGAGCTGCCTATTGCTTTAAGTACTGCTCAACCCTAAATTGGGAATGTCAATACGCATTCAAGAAACTGAATCATCAGTTCAAAACAGTTGAGCAGTTGTTAAAAAAATGAGGCAAGGAAATAAAAGACAATCACATCCTCCAATTGAGAACCATTGCATGTAATCAATCATACACCATCTGAAAGTAAGGGAAGGCAAAAATAATAATCAGTACCAAATTACTCTTAATGGTAGCATTAAAGTAACAGTTCATCACATTTTTTGTATCCATTACATTCCTTATTAATGTCTGATTAAAAATTTGGTTTTAAGAATCAGTTCAAACCTTGCGTTCTACCCAAAACAGTCATTTGTAAATAAAATTTATACTCTAATAATGTAAATTCTTTTTTAAAGCAATAATGTCTACAAATAGCTATGTGTGGATCAAGCATAAATATGCCACTGGCTGAAGTAAGGCTTTGCATCTTTGCCTTTAGAACTCAAACTAAAAAAACGCATAATTTTCTAACTATCATTCCTTTTGGATAGTCATGAAGTATTAACTTTTATGGAAGTCACACAGAATGTAAAGCTTAAAACACTGTACACAGTTTTGTGAAGGTCACTAACATTGGGAATGTCTCTAACATTAAGGCATAGAGCCTATCAGAGTGATACTAGTATGAGCATGAGAACGCAACTAATCACATTTAAGTGTCATGAAAAAATGTTTTATGTTTTATTGTAGCAGCTCTTGGTTTTACATCCCGCCATTAAAGTTTTGCCCTGGAGTAAAAATTCTTGAAGTAGAAGTACATTTACATCTTTAAATAACAAGAAACTAAGATAGTGTCTGCAGTACTACAACCTTAAGCATTTAAAATAATTTATCTAATATACATTTCTTCAAGTCCACAGAAGTTTTGCAGGAGCAAATGGGAAGAGGAAATTAAGAATGTTATTACTATATTTTAGCAAACTTATCAGTTCTGGACTCTGAGATACTTACAGAAGTAAGCGACAGTTACAATGATCTTGTAAATGTTCCAGCCAAACAGTAAAAACATCCTTTTTACATGCCCAAAAGGATACAGAGAACTTCAATTGCATGGGCCCATTCCTACTGAAATTTTTTGCCTGATCCTCTTCTGACTGAAATGTTAGACTTATAACTAATTCTTGGATTCCAGCCTAAACCCGAAGTCACCTATTTTTCACACAAGCACATGGCTGAAATATTTCTGGACCACAAAAATCAGGGAAACTTTTCCTTCTCCAACGAAAGAGCTAGGTACATTTCAAGAAATTCGGATTCTAATTCCAGTCAGATTTTGGCACAAAGCTTTATGCAGCCATGGTGATACAGAGATATAATACACACACACACACACCAGCTTCTTGGCACACAGAATCCAAAACCACACTGCTGCTAAGGCATGCCATATCCATGCTATAAATTAAAATACAAGTGGAAGATCGTTTGTAATTTTTTTGCCCTTTTCAGCTTAAATCTTACTTCCACAATCTACGGATCACATACATATTTTCATGAAACATATCTGCTGACCCTAATTTTATTAGTGATGATACAAAGTCTTTATCCCACAGTCCTACTACCCAAGAGCAGACATCCAAACTGAGGGAAGGGAAGGACAAGGGTAGTTTAAAGCCTTTGCATTCACTCATTCACACTTTAGTTGTGTACTAATATATGTTTCTGACAAGTAAATGAAACAAGGGCAAACAGTCAAATGAAAATCTCAGCCTTCATTATGAGTACACCTTAAACTCCAAATTTCAGCAGTTGTAAGAAAATGCATAATACACCCTGCACTTGGCACCTGGCAGTCTCCAGAGAGAGGTCACAATTCTGACCACGTTTGGATGAGGTAGACACATGCTCACAAGCCTTGAATCAAAAGTCTTCAGTTCTTTGTACGCAAAGCAGATCAAAGGTAACTGATTTCACTATTTTTACACAGACTAGACTTTAAAACGATCAGTTTCACATTAAAATTCACTTGTTATTACCCATATCCTAGAAAATAAACAGATTCTCAGTAAGCATTCAGAATTGCATGCAGATGGCATTTGGCAATACCAGAGGTATTGCACAAATACCTGTGCAATACTCTGGAAATCAAATAATTACATACCCATTTACTATCTGTCCCATATCTTACAATTTCTACTCATTCTCCCTCTTCCAAGATGTCTAGAATATGAAACATTTATTTCTGATGAAGCAAGAAGTTGAAATACACACTGCTACATAAGAGGTCCAGGTTCATAAGGTATAAGCTAAACTCAGGTACAAGCTCCCATGCTGTCCCATGCTGCCTTCGATTAATTCCAAGGTGCAAACATGCAGCTAAGGGAGTCCAGAGCCCTACTGGGGAAGAGAGGAGGAGGAATCACTGAAGGGATGTCACATGCCTCCACAAGAGGAGAAAGTGTGTAACGTCTTTAATGTGCAGCAGTGACTCTTGCCTTATGAATGTAGGTGAAGACATAATTTGTAGAATAATAGGCACTAATATTACACGCTGCTTCAGTTCTGTCATATTTCCAATCCATCAAGTTGATTAATGCTATAATAACTCCTCACAAACTTATCATTTGTGCACTAATGAAGTCAAATCCAGTTTATCCTTCGGCAACTATAATCTTCTGGTCTGTAGATGTTCATTTCCCTGCTAACCACAGCTACTGTGGCACTCAGTATATAAAGAGAAAATTAACAAATGTGATGTCAATTCAGCTTCAGAAGCTTTCAACACAGAATCACATTTATGTGTTAGATCCTACGCAACAGACATTTTTATCATTAGTTGCTCAAAGGATGAAATAACTGCCTGAAAGCATGCCTTACAGGAATAGCTTCACTAGTTCTTAGGAATAAGGAACTATTTCATTCTTCCTTCTGCCTCCATAATCAGAAGAATTACTATTGTGTGGTTTTCAATGGGTCTGTCTCTAAGGCTTGCAGTCTTTAGTAAAAACTGTTTTCCCACCCTACTGAAACTTTTCCCATGATTAACAAATTCAAATATTTAGTCTTTCATGTGGATTGTCTGCTGTTCAGGACAATCAAATCTCATACTATTGTCTTTCCCTAATTCTCCTCTACCGCACTATTAGTTGATTTAAAACAATAATGCCAGTTATAGGAAAGAGCCTATGGGAAACAATTAGTGGGATTATTCCCCCCCTCTCTATTAACATTGTCTGAAAAGGGCTTGAGCTCAAAAGTAACAGGGAAATGAGAATTAAAGGGATATGGACACAGAAAACATCACTACATAAGCCTTGTTATCCTGAGTGCTGAGAATTCAACATAGACAGCATGCCAACAAGTGGGGAAGTCAAACAGCAAGCAAACC